GGGACTAACCTGCAATAAGAGGAAGCCTCTCATGGGTCCTACTTTAACCCTGGGCATGAATTCATTAGACCCTGAGGACAATGGGTCTTTGTAAATCTCATGTGGGGACCGAGTAATAACACTGTGAGTAACAAGAGTTACAGCCCAGTAACTTGCTGGGGGGCGATAGCAGCACTCTTCTTTACATTCTTATGATTTAATTTTTTTTTTTTGAGACAGGGTTTCTATGTGTAGCTTAGGAGCCTGTCCTGGAGCTCACGTTGTAGACCAGGCTGGTGTCGAACTCACAGAGATCCACCTGCCTCTGCCTCCCGAGTGCTGGGTCTAAAGGCGTGCGCCACCACCTCCTGGCATGGTTTCATTTTTAAGCTCCACATTAACTTTTCCTTCGCAAAAAAACAATCTTTACTCTCTACTACCATGGCAGGCCCTATACTAGATTCCCCAGAATATAAAAATGTTTTCACGGATGGCCATGGTGGCCCAGGCCTTCATGTAACCTTAGGTATTTGGGAGGCTGAAGTAGAAGTATCAAAAGCACAAGGCCAGCCTGCGTAACTTATCCACACTCTGTCTTAAAAATTTTAAAGTGTGAAAAGGGCCATTCCTACTCCAATAGCAATGTTTAGAGATGCTCACAATGGCCCAGCATTTGACACCATTATAGGTCTCTCTAAAATACAGACTAACGAAAATGGCTCTCTGGAAGTCCTGCTAACAGGATTGTTGATCTTTATTCCAAAAAGCTTGGGAAGGCACCAAAATCCATATGTAGTGTGTGTCCAAGCAGACTTTGAGGAGTTTGTGCTCTGAGACCTAAAGTCCTCATGACATTTCCTACAACAACAACACTAGTGGGTATAGGTAAATGTGGTAAATGTGTTCATAACAGGATCTAGTGAATGTTCCTTATTGAGGAGCAGAGAACCATTGTTGAAGGCACAAATACAGGTCAGAAAGCTAAGTAAACATTATGCTTTTTTGTTTGTTTTTTCGAGTCAGGGTTTCTCTTTGTAGTTTTGGCTGTCCTGGAACTCACTCTGTAGACCAGGCTAGCCTCGATCTCACAGAGATCTTCCTGAGATCCTACTTCTGCCTCCTGAGTGCTGGTATTTAAGGCATGCGCCACCAGTGCCCAACTAATATTAAACTTTTTAAGATAATGAAAATCAAACTTTGTTCTGTGAAAAAAAAACATTCAAAACAGTTTAAAATTTAAAAAAAAAAGTATCAAAAGAGTTAGGAGTTTAGCTCAGTGGTAGAGTGTCTTTCTAGTGTGTGCAAGACTCCAGGTTCAACTCCCAGTACTCTGTGTGTGCATGTGAGTGTGTATGTGTGCATATGTGTGTGTGTGGTGTGGTGTGGGTGTGTGTGTGTGTGTAGCACAGCTCAAGCTGCACTGGGAGCACCTTCTGTCTTCCCCACTGGAATGCGAGCTTTGATGAAGACAGGTATCCTCTCCCTCTGTGTATTCTGAAGACTGAACCTGTGACTTTGCGTGTGCCAGGGAAGCACTTAGCCTTGAGCTGTAGCATCTTCAAATCCCGCTTTTCCCCCTCCCCCCCCC